TCACGAGGCCGGCCCCCGCCTCAGCGCGCACGTTGGGTACCGTAGCGGGCTGGGCCCTGCGCTCAGGCTTTATCCCCAGAGCCAGCTGGGCGGGGAGGGGAAGCTGGGACTCCTGCGTCAGCACTCGCCTCCCAGCGCTGGGCTTTACGGAGAGCAGCACGCGCGCAGGCGGCCCCCTCCAGTCAAGGTGACTCGAGCAGGCGGGTGCCTTTGGGCGGGAAGCGCCGTGTGGTAGAGGGGGGGGGGAAGGCATAACGAGTGTGCGAGGGAAAAATCCTCCTGGCGTCCGCTAGGTGGTGCCCACAACGTGGCTCAAATCAGCACGTGGAAAGCAGGCCCGATATACAGGCCTCATATTTCCCCCCGCATTTCATCCAGACCCTGGCTCGTGCATTACCCCACTTCTTCCAAAGCAACATTCAAATAGTAGTTGTTGTTTTTTCTTTTAAAGTGACATGCAAAGGACATACCAGGTTTGTACCTCCCCCCCTCCGTCTTCCTTATGTCAACAGCAACAGACCTGAAAATGTCGTGGAGATTTTCTTTGAAAATAGTTTTGTTTGTTTTTACTTTTAGAAATCTAGCTTTCGTGACAGACCCGGGACAATGAAGAAACTAGTATGATTATCTGAGAGACAGCAAGGTATTGCATATGTGAGTTAAAGCAGGGCAAGACAAGGTGGGAATCTACATCACTTTGCAGCACAACAAAGTCCCATGTGGACACCATTACAAAATGTAGTATGGAGAAAGTCCTGGAATGTGGGTTAGCACAATACTCTGCAAGAATAAGTGCAATTCTATACTCCAGGACCTTTGCTGAATGTACAAGTGTCCACACAAGGCATTATTACACAGCAAAGTGTTGCATTATAGAGTTTGACTTGGTTTTAACTCCCTTGTAGACATGACCAAAGGAAATTAAACCTTATTAGTTGACAAGACAGTTATCCAGACTTCTTAAAATGTTGGGTTTGTTTTGTCTATACCTATTTAAAACACTTGGGAAACTCGATTTAATACTCCGGTCTATTCAGTTATTATCTGAGGAAGTTTCTAATGCACATCTGAGTCATCCAAGAAGTCCACTACCAAAAAGGAAGTAAGAATTGGCATCCCTTTAAGGCTCAAGAAAAAAATAAGCAGGAAAAAAAAATCAAAACTTTGTCATATCAAAGCAAAAAAAAAAAAAAGACACAATCCCATTTTTCTTTTGCATGTCACTTTTTCAGGAAAAAAGAAACAACTTAAAAATCAAGTAGAAAATAGTTATATTCAAGGTCTTATAGTTAGAAAATGTTAAAGGGCTAGTTTTGAATTATCTTAATCCAGGATCAAGTTTGTTTAATATTTTTCATGTTATGTAATTCTAGAAGTTACATCAAATTTAATATAGACAAAACAGTAAAAAGAAAATGTACATCAAATATCAGGTCCTATTACTGTTTTGTGTAAAGGAAAAAAACACCCATAAGTACTTCATCCTTTGACACTAACTGCCAAAATTTTAATTATGTTTTGTTTCTTTTATCTGAGTAGTTAAAATACACAAGTATTAGATTTAAAAGCTATTATCTTCATCTAAATAGGATGGATTATATTAGCAAGATGAACAAAAAAGTTTTAAAAAATTCACCTTTTTGTGTGTGGGGGGGGGGAAGCTCTTCACAATTCCTACAGAGAGTCTTGATACATGAATGGCACTCCAAGTGCTGCATCTATTAATGCAATATATGCCATCAAGTGCCACCATTGTCCTTCTGTCATGGATATTGGACCAATGGACAGTCTCTTACACAAATCAGACATCAGGAATGGAACACACATAAACCTTCAGAGGAACGCGTTACCCTCCCTGGACATTCAGTAATGGATTTGAAAGTAGCCCTCCTTCTACAATAGAATTTAAAAAAACCTGTTACAAAGGGAGAGAGTTGAACTGGAATTCATTTGTAAATTCAGCACTATTAATTTAGGATTGAATAGGATCTCAACTGGTTAACGTATTACAATGGCAATTTTCCCTCCCTGGATATTTACATCTCCATACAAAAAGTTGTGAATGACCCACTTCCATCCTCAGTTGATTAGCTTTATTAACACAAGCAACTTCTTCCTTATATCCCTGCTTCTGTAACTTTCACTCCAATTTAGGGATGTTAAATTCCAATTAGTTGATAGGGTGCCTCTGCCTTTGAAATGTAGCAACAGCCCTAGGGTGTAAGACTGCAGGGAACCCCACGTCATTTCAAAGCGGCAGCACCGCAAGGAGCCCAGAATCAGCTGGGGACTCCCCCGCTGACCCCAAGCTCTGTGCGGCGCTGCCACTTTGAAATGCTGTGTGGAGCCCAGCGTCAGGTTCTTTGCGACATTTCAAAGCGGGAGCTCCACATGGAGCCCAGGGTCAGCAGGGAGTCCCTAGCTGATCCTGGGCTCCACGCAGCGCTGCCACATTGAAACACCGTGTGCAGCCTGGGGACACTGCAGCTGCATGCAGTGTTTCAAAGTGGCAGCACTGCGTGGATCCCAGGTTCTGGCCCCAGCAGCGCTGCTACTTTGAAGTACCCCCTCCTCTCACTTCCCCTGACTGCCTCTTTCTGATAGAGGTAGCAAGGGGGGGAAGCAACTAGTCAACTCAATTATCCAATAAGCATTTGCTTATTGGATAGACGAGTAGTCTTTCACATCCCTACTCCTATTCATCTGATGAAGTGGGTTTTACCCACAAAAACTTATGCCCTAATAAATCTGTTAATTTGTAAGGTACCACAATACTCCTTTCTCCACCCCATATAAATAGTTCATTATGACGCTAACCTCAAATTAATTACACCTAGGTTTGGTCAGTTCTTGAATGGGGGAAATATTGAATTATTTACACTATTTATTGCTGCTACACCAAACAGCGGTCACACGTTTACCAAAACAAATACATTTTAACATCCCTAAGTATAATTCCTTTCTGCATTTTGATACTTGATACCTAAAGTATAAATAGTGCATTTGGCACTTTTCAGTGTAGGGTAGGTATCTCAATTTAAGAGAATATAATTAATTTTAATTACAAAATTAAACAGTCATCACAAATTACTTAAGGTGTAAATTACATCTAATGTAAATCCAGGCATGTCTCCTGTCACATGCTATTTGTATACTATGCCATGCAAGTAGGATGACCAGCAGAGTAATGGCTGCATGTAGCTCAATGGGATTTGATCATCTTTGATTAACCCATGCATTATCCCTGGCTGGTATGAGTGTCAGAACTCAACCCAATTTACTAACCATATTAAAATAATTGCATTGAAACCATTTTACTTATCTGGAATCATGGCAGTTGTAGGGTAAATTGAGGCAGCCCATGGTATCTTGCTGAGAACTGACAAACTAAAATCTGAAAGTATCAGGCGAAGCCTGAGAAGCATACAGTACAGCAGTTACTGTGACCCTGGTTCCCCTGGCAACCACATTCCAAAAGGGCCTCACTTTGATAAGGCATGTACCAAACAACTGCGCGGGATTGTTTTTTATTGTCTGCTTTGTTCCTAGAAAATAAGCTTGGATCCCAAAGATCCCAAGGCAATACCACCCCCATAGGAGACGCATTATATTTCCAGCCAACAAAATGACCATCAACATGCCTTTGTTTATGTTGGCTTATTTAGCTTGTTAGGAATAACTACCTGTATTAGTGATAACATGTTTAATTGGCAATGGGCAGAAATACTGTGTAACTGTTGTAGACCATTGGCTTATGTGCATATTTCACTTCCGCTGCTAGACCTATTAAATCACTTCTCCTCCATCCATCTGCGACCTATATAATCTAATGTATGTTTTGATTAAGTTGGTGCTCACCGGGTTAAACCCTGATGAGTACTCCACCAGCTGTGTGAACCAATAAATCCTCTGCTTGTTTTCACCTGCACCCAATGGCTACGTCTAGACTGGCATGATTTTCCGCAAATGCTTTTAACGGAAAAGTTTTTCCGCTAAAAGCATTTGTGGAAAAGAGCATCTAGATTGGCCCGGATGCTTTTGCACAAAAGCACTTTTTGCGGAAAAGCGTCCGTGCCAATCTAGACGCGGGTTTGCGCAAGAAAGCCCCGATCACCATTTTCGCCATCGGGGCTTTTTTGCGCAAAACTGTTCTCAGTTGTCTACACTGGCCCTCTTGTGCAAAAGCATTTGCGCAAGAGGGCTTTTTCCCGAATGGGAGAGTCATTGTATTTGCAGAAGAACACTGACAATCTTACATTAGATCGTCAGTTTTCTTGCGCAAATTCAAAGCAACCAGTGTAGACAGCTGGCAAGATTTTCTGCAAAAGCGTCTACTTTTGCGGAAAAACTTGCCAGTCTAGACTCAGCCAGTGTGTCCAAGAATTATTCCCAACAGCAGTAGAAAATTTTACTGGCATACTTTTCATAGTGGGGGAAAAAATCACACCCCTAACCAGGGCCGGCTCGATCCATTCATGCGCCCCTGGCAGCAGGCGCACAACGCATGTGCAGCTCCACCCCGGGTGCACAGTACATGCGCGGCCCCGCCCTCTGGCGTGCTGCGCACCTTACAGCTGTAATCAGGCATGCGGCACCTGATGGCAGGTCTAAGGGGCGTCGCACGGCTGGGCGCGTTGCGCCCCTTACAGCTGCCATCAGGCGCCCCCCCCCATAGGTTGGTGCCCTTAACACCTGCCCGGCTAGTCCCCCCCCTTAATCCAGCCCTGCCCCTAACCTACTTAGCTATGGTGACAGAAGCCCTACTGTAGATACAGTTATAGAGATGGAAAGTCCTTTTGCAGCATAGCTTGTTTTTGTTTAGGGAAGTGTTTCTGCCACAATGAACAGTGTCTTCACTAGGGAGATTTGCCTAGTACATCTCTACTGGCATACCCATAGCAGCAAATTTCTGTGTGTAGATAAAGCCTCATATTTGATGAGGGTTTAAAGCCAATGCATCTAAAATTGAGATTTAGAGGATCTTGTGCAAAAGGGTTTTTTTTTCTGACAAATGGCCCCGTCTACATGGGACTTTTTATCTGCAAAACCTCTTCCGCAAAAAGAATCAGAAAATATGCAAATAAGCATGCTATTTGCATATCTTCTTCCGCAAAAAAAGGTCATGTAGCCGTAGCCTCAGAAAGCTGTTTCAACCAACCACATTTTAGTTTCCATGTAAAGCAAACTTTCCTTCCCAGGTTAATCGTATCTTTCCATTGTTAAAGAAAAATCTTTGACCAAATATCAAACTAATGAGGAGATAGGGAATATATGTTTTTACTTTCTGGGAACAAGGCAAAACAGATTAGAGAAGGTCCCCTATGATTCAGCAAGATATGTTCTCGATTCACACAAATAGCTCTACTCAACCTGAAGTGACAGAACTATCATATTTTAATAGAAAAGAATGAAACATTATTTTAAATCTCCTGTCACACAGACATAAGACAAAGTGAACATCTGTGGAACATGGAATCATTCCATTTATGATGAAAGCCTCAATATTTCACTTGTGACTTCACTTGATATGAATTATGGGGGGGCGGTTATTCTTAAGATAGCTTCCATATCTCACAGATTCATCTGGCTCTGTAAATTGCTCTTTATTTACTCCATATAAGGTCTTCAGTTTTTTACAGCTCCTTTTCATTGACAGGATTTATACACAGAGAGATGTCA